CAATATTTTATATAAAAAAGTGACGATTGTATGAGACTGACGTTCACTACAAATATATCTCTATGAGTCGACAATAGTTACTGCTAATTGCGGATTTCACCTTATAAAGATGTTATAGAGGGATCTCGTACGAGGGTAGCGCAGTGTTCATATTGTTATTATTATATTTATAATGTATCTACAAATGTAATAAACATCGCGGTAGATAAACATGTTTACCCCAAACAAATAAGAATACGCCAGAACAGTTATGTTGCCCGCACAATAAATTGAAATGTTTCTCGAGTTCAATAATTGGCAGGCAATATCTCAGTCCTATTCTCTGGAGATGTTGCATCTGTCTTTTTGACGTCCAATTAGACATGAAGAGACCAATACATCCATGCTATTAGGACTGGCTCTGGGGTTTACTTCACCCCTTGATACTTACTCCCTGGGTCATAACATGTAAACAGTTGACATTCCCAACTATTGGACTTCCGGTTGCGCGCGCAAATCGAGATGGCCGATTCTAGAATAGCTCCGTATCAAATTTAGAAAAAATCGACGAGAATTAATGGCATCCCTATAGAAATATATTTAGAAGTGTGTCAAAACTGTTTACTAGGTGTTCATTGACGTGATGGGTGAGGTATTTGTGTAGAAAATCGGTACTAGAAAATGGTATATGACATTCCTTGTGACTCTGTTCCTGTCGGTCAAGAAAAGAGATGGCGCACATGTGCTCAGGATTTTGAACTGAAGTTGTGGGCCTCTGAGGTTGTACACAGGATGAAAACAACTGTTGCTACATTGCTAAAATTTTCTCCAATTAAAATGAGCGAGTCAAAAATACTAAAAAACGCTCGAGTTTATTGATGTTGGGGACGGAGGAAACATCATCAGGAAGCCTGTATAAGTATCTGACAGTAAGGGATATACCTTAGGAAACCATTATCTCAGCGGGGATAACAATCATTTCCCTTTCGAGTTATGGTGTATCAGTGGAGGGAGGACTTGTAGCCCCGTGGGTACAATTGAACAAAGGATCGAGACGAAAGGCGATTACTAAACATAAGTTAATTGCAACATCGGGATAAAGTCAGGTAGGAGTATCGCTATCGGAGGCCTCCATTGCGACGACACCGTAAGAGGTTACCGAAGGGCAATAGACTGTGTAAACAAACATAATGGCGAAGCAGTAATAAAAATTTTGGAATGCCCTCCATTCAGCATTAATAAGTGGCACCAGTACAGAGGTTTGTCCCAGGATACTAATAGCAACGTTCATGATAAGGAAGCAACAAGACAATGTAAACTTCTCAATCATCATATTGCCGAACTTAACACCAGCGATCAGTCAAATCTGAAACCAACTAACAATCTACATCGGTGCAGCAAAATCGAAGGGTAAGCTGCCTAGATATCAGTACAACTTCACCTTATTGAAGGATGGTGTCCATCCAGGGAAAACTCTGTGTGACGTTTGGACAAAACTACTAATAAAGGACACTCATCATATTCACGACATGTACTATAAGGATGATATACTGACAGTATATCATCCTTATCCAACATGGATACAGAGGAAGAGGAATGCTTATGATCAATATTTACAAGGTGAGTGTAACTCATCAGTCATGATCAGTCGTGTACCCCTACTTAAAATCTCTAACCAACAGTCAACATGGATTTAGGGAAGGTCGTTCATGCAAAACACAACTTCTAGAATCAATCGAAAAATCATGGATTTTAGAAACAATGTGGACGTAATCTACTTTGATTTTGCCAAAGCATTCGATAACGTGTATCATCGACTGCTGCTGCCCAAATTAGAGCTATATGGTATAAGAGGTAAAATACTAGATTGGATAAGAGCATATCTGTCTAACTTGACCCAGAGAGTCGTCATTAATGGGACACAGTCAAATCCCCTACCAGTCACCAGTGGAGTCCCCAAGGGAGCGTCTTAAGCCCCCTTTTATTCCTGACCTATGTGAATGACATGCCAGATGTGGTTAACTGTGTGAGAAAAGAGTTTGCAGATGATACCAAACTCTACAGCAAAATATCCAAACCTGAAGATAGAGCTAACCTGCAAGCTAGCGTTAACAACATATGTAAATGGACAGAAACATGGCTAATGGAACTAAATGCAGAGAAATGCAAACACGTGGAGATTGGGCATAAACCAAAAACATCATCGTATGGGATAGTCAACAAAGATCAGGAAATCAACATCACCAAAACAAGAACGGAAAAAGACCTCGGGGTAACAATTGACGATAAACTCAATTTTAGTGAGCAAACCAACATCGCGGTGACCAGAGCCAATAGAATACCAGGAATAATATGTAGGACTTTCACATTAAGGGACAACAGCACAGTTGTTGCCCTTTATAAGACATTAGTAAGACCGCATTTTGAATACAGCCCTACAGTATGGTCACCTATGCTGTCAAAGGATAAAAAAGCAATCGAAAATGTCCAAAGACGAGGAACTTACAGAATCCCTCGGCTAAAAGACATGTGTTACAGCGACAGACTCCGCACATTAGGACTACCAATCATAGAGTACAGAAAGGAACGAGCGGATATGGTAGAACTGTATAAGATTCTAAATGGAATTGACATTGTCAGAACAAATGATATGTTCGCTCTACTGGATAGCCACTCCACAAGGGGTCACTCAAAAAAGGTCTACAAGAAACAATTCAGACTAAATGTCAGCAAAACTGTATTCAGCAACAGAGTGGTCAATCAATGGAAATCTCTCTCGGAAGACGTGATTTCAGCAGCAAAAATAAACAGCTTCAAGAGTCGACTAAATGTGCATTGGAGAAATCACCCCAGGAAATCCAGTGCTTCAGTCTACTAGTATATGTAAAAAGTGTAAATATTATTAGCGCGCAACCGGAAGTGAAGTAATTATACAGTGTATGAAATAATCATTCAGGTATCGAAACAAGCTCCAACGAGCTTTCCAATGATGGAAGCTACTAAACTATACTATCCTATTATCATAAATACAATTGATAGGCATGATGCATTGAACACGCTCATGCTACAAGGATTAACACAGGGGTCCATCCCTTTCCCTAGGGACATACTTCTTTGGTCATATATGGAAAGAGTTTCAATTTCCACACTATAACCATGGATAAAATTGTATCGTTAGGAATGAAGATATGAAAACAATCCCAGTTACTACTACTACTAGTATTGGTTCTATCATCTGGCCTTGTGAGATCCCCATCCTAAATAGTAGAACACACCGCTCTTACCCTCATGTTGAACCCAAACCATATTAGGCACATGAAGACCTGAGAATTGTTCACGGCATGTGATCATCATGAGACCTGCAAAAAATGTGCCTATGATAATATTTTGGATGAATCGGAGCAATCATGATAGAATTTTTCTTTCTGATAATAAGGAAAAAATGAAAACACAACCAGTAGGTAAGTATGGAATAAATGAGCATATAATAAAGAGCAAAACTCTGCAGTACAAAAGTGTTTGGCACGAAATGAAGGTAGGTTTTATAAATATAGAGGCCAGAGACCGGATACACGATACGATAACGGTCGTCGGGAACATGTACATGACGATCACTACATTAATTAGCTTTGTTAATTAGCACGTGTCTTGCTCCTGTGATTATATCAGCTTCGTCAATCAATACACCAAGACGTCATCCTTCCAGTACAGCACGCGACACCGCCCTTCCGGTACAGCACGCGGCACCGTTAACGAGAACCAAATAATTATCAAATGTAATTGGTCTTGTGGGACATGTGATAGTATATAATAACCGACTCCACATCGGTATAACATACGTATTTGTAGATATTCTTGTATGTGATTCATCACCAAAATCGAACAAATATGTTCATAAAACTAGAATGATTGTACGAACGTTTCAGGTGAAACGTCAAGCGAAATTTTAACATTAGAATTGTGTCAAACCAGGCCAGTATGAACGATTAAATTCAGCTTTGATAATCATCAAACCATGGCTGTATGAACGTAAATGTAATTTTAGAATAGCGTCAAAAGAGGGTTGTAAATATAAAAACAAAATAAATTCAACTTTAGAATGGCGTCACAAGCGGGCAATATGATTTACAATAAAATGTAAGCCATAACTATTATTTCATAGAACGTGGCATTGTTCTGAGCGCGAATATCAGAAAATGGGTAAAAAGGCTTTACGTGAGTAATATCCAACAAATATCACCAAAATGTGAACAAAAACAAACCGCCAGAACATAACTTATTGTTAAAAAGGTTTCAGACAATATGAAGCTAACGGGTCACCTCCGACTATTTGATACTTATACACATGTATTATGTCCATATTCACTTTATATAATATTTCCTAAGTTCTATCAAACACCAAGTATGCAAAAATCGTACCAATATTATAGGACTTCTTAACTTGATAAATGCTTAAGCTAATCAGAAGCGATAGACGGAGGCCATTTTGGATTTCGGAATCTAGATAGAATGGAGTTATCAAATCAATATACCCGCGAAGTCCTTCGTAGTCTTCAGACAGGGAGAAAACTAACAAACTTAAAAACGAAAGTGTCTTTAGATAATTAATTTGAACTTTAAAACTACTTAGCGTTGGAATTTTATGTTTTGAAAATATATTGAAAATGACATTGCTTTGTGTGAGCTAGCGTTCAGATTACTCTTCAAACCTACAAGCTTGAACGGAACACTTACTTTATAATAAGACAAACACGTACAAAAGGTGTCGATAGGTGTTTGATTTAAAAGTTAAATTTGTAATTGAATATGAAAAAAGAATAATTAAAACTAGAATCTATCTCCTAGAATTGTGATATTGTTGTAAATATAAATCTACTCCCTATATCATTGAGTCATGTTTAATTCAACAAGCAGGCTCGCAGAAAACATCCGTTAAGTGTATAGATAGATTTTCCCTCTAATACACATCATCTAAGTCCGAGTTGTCAACCCCCCACTGTTGTGTCGTATATACCGTGGGAACCTTTCATCTGTGTGTGTGTGTTATAGTTGCTGAAGCTCGGACACTGAGTTAGATCAATGTACAGTGGTCAAGCCACCTGCTAATAGTGCACACGAGATATAATTACTGTTATCGATTGATGCTGAAATACAATTCTTGATATTGTTCATTAAAACAGTGACAACCTCCGCCTGCCGCCAAATGATGTATCGTGTTATAAACAGACCTTGAATCATGGCCCTATGACGGTGAATTCTGTAATGGTCACCTGCTCGTCATTCAAGCCGATAAGACACGGACCAGTATATAAGAACGGGTGGCAGCATCTGTCTCTCGTCTGCTGGATAACTGAACTACTCGGTAGTGAAGCGGAAACCTATCAATCAATCAATCAATCTATCTATGTCTACTAGTCATTGCCTTACCTCCAGTATTTTTTTTTACTGGACAGCGAGCGAACGCGGTGACGTCACTTTGACTGATTAGTAGGCTACCCTGGGGTGTTAGTTCATTGGACACAGAGATACTACGACAATTCCGGTCTTCACTGACCACAACCACTGACTTGGATAACCTAATTCCGTGCCGCAACAGTGTGTGTCTGGCAGCAACCCCGGTTAGAGGAAAGTGCCACAGATAACAGCGATGGGAAATCAGACGATTTGGACGATGCTCTTATCATGCACATGTAAGTATAGATGCAATTTAAGAAGTTGTAGATTTTATTTCATATTTATTTCAGGATCCCCTCCGTATACCATAGACAACATATTAAGTATATATTTCCCTGTTTTATGCCATTGTCATTTCTTGGTAATTATGTTAATATTAAATTGCAATCTTCTTTGCATGATATGTGGTTTTAATTTAAAACTTCAGTATTTACAATATTTTGGTGTGCAAACGATGTTTAACAAATCATTAGTAAGCTATTCCAGGTAACAGTTTCCGTTGTTTCCTTTTAGAGTCTAAATACCGTACGTAAGCGACCAAACAACTACAGTTTAGTATCAGTGGACATTGCCCATTGCATCTCTTTTGACCGTCAGTTAAATTCCTTACATCTCTCTTGGTGCGACTCTGAAACAATTGTTGTACCGGCAGATTATTAAAGCAACACCTGCTGTTTCTTTAGGTCTTAGGGGCATTATTTAATGTCCTGAAGGTTTTAGGGGCATTATTTAATGTCCTGAAGGTTTTAGGCGCATTATTTGTCGTCCCTTTATGTTTCAGAAGCGTTTTTTTTGTCCCTCGTAGAATACCGTAATACGGGTTTGTTATAATTATAGCACTTAATGCATTGGTTAACTGGTCATTTGTCTGTATTGGTAGACATTATTGAACATTTCGTCTATAACAGTAGAAAATCATTGTTCTTTGTCTATAACAGTAGAAAATAATTGTTCTTTTTCTATAACAGTAGAAAATCATTGTTCTTTGTCTGTAATAGTAGAAAATCATTGTTCTTTGTCTGTAATAGTAGAAAATTGATGAACTTGGATTTCAATCTGCTTTGATTTTTATGGTGTTTTTTATTATGGAAATAAACATTTTTGAGATAGCGTGTTGGTGATCTTGCCCTGTCTGTGTGCAATGTTACGTAAAACAGCACTGCCCCATACCGGATCTACATTTACGTATGACAGCTAGACATCTATGACCCGAGGTCTTACGCCAGGTATACATCAATTAGTAACACCTAAGCTTTAATAGCTCACGGTTATCTTTATAATTACCTAAAAAATGTCATTTATGTCAGAGATTTATTACATTTTTATTAAATGTCTCATTATATAAATTATATTATAATATTATAATAAAAGTGTGTACACTCTCTCATTGGAGGAATAAAAGAAAATGAGTGATTGATCTTTTGTACGACATGCATACAAATAAAGTCCAAATGATTAAACTGCAGACAACACTATTAATTAACATCTTCTAATGTAACAATTTATAGTTGATCTGTTGTTTTTACCGTTAACTGGCCAATCAGAGATCAGGATTTACTGTAGATTCACCCTGACGTCATGATCAAATGACCTGACTCTCACGACGATCTTAACTGTTACCATTCTCCTTCAAAACTAGTAAATACATTGAAACAAATGTCTTATTAGGACTATGACGAATGAACGATATTTAATTTACATACATATCTACGGAATGGGATAGATACAGTATAAACAATAAACCTACCGCGCACTTACATCCGGGCCAACAAGAGTGATTGATATAATCCCGTGTGGCCTTGGAATTACGTCCGGAACGTTTCCGGATAAACGATGTTTCTTTTCTTTGAACAGACTCATTATCATCACGTACGAACTGCTCAAACAATTGCGGTACAGCTTTTTACTTGTGGACAGGGTTTGTTAATTGCTTCTAATTAAAGACATGAATCAGCGAAATTCATTCTGGAGAAAGATGATATGGCTTTGTCTCCATATATATAACTGACCATTGTCCTTGTCGATGCTACATATATGTACACGCTTACATAGACTGACAGGTGAATCGGGCATATTTTTATGGCGACAAAAACGAATCGATGAATTGATCTTGACATACAGGAACAAACGGGAACGAGAATAAATCACTTCCTGCTCGTCTTCTATAGGCGTAATGTCAACAAAGGGTGCCACCTTCTGGTCACAAGTCCAATGTGTGTAACGACAACCGGAAAACACCTCTTGGCATGTGGGTGGAATGGGGTGGTGGGGAGGGTGAAGTAACCTTTGTTGGGTTGGTGATGGTGGGGATTGGGTTGGGTGGGGTCGGAATAATGGAGGACAGAATCCGCCATATTACCATACTTAATTAGACTTATTATCGTATGTTACGTAATTTGATTAACGGTCATATACTACACGATGTCCACAGTTTTTCACGAGACCATATAACAGCAACGATCTCAAACACTTACTTTATCGACTGGACAAGCTACCCGGCCCGTTTCTATAGCAATGTAAACGTCACCTTATGTAAGCCTGAATGTGAGACCTAAACATGTCAAAGAAACCAGCGAATGAACTGCCGACACATCATTACACAGATGATTGTCATCAGAATTAGCGCGTTCGGTGTTCATTGATTCAATGTACGATATCGGGGACTAATACAGATGTCCATAAAACTACCCAAGGAGTCGCAACATATAACTTTCAAATCCACTCAATGGTATAGCAATCATTGCAGTCATCTTGTTGGCCCGGTTATTAGCGCGCGGGAGTCTTTATGTGGGAGGAAACTGAAGTACCAGAACAGGTAAGCCCATACCTTTACAAGTCCAATCGGGGAATCGAACCCCGGCCGCTTTGGTGTAAGGTGAGTGCGCTATTCACTGCGCCACCCGACCACAACTTTAAAGTATAATAATAGCGTAAGCGTTGAACGTTCGCTTAATTGAGGGATACAATGGGTGCTATGCCTGGACCAGGACACAGCAAAGTTCATAATAATGGTAGTTGTTATTCCTTGCTTAGTTTCAGTATTTTGGGTAATGGTGCCAATTGGTTTACCAGTTGTCAGTATAATGTGACAGGGTGAACTACTGTGCTGGGTGCCTTCAGAATGGTATTTAAGTGAGATAGCACTTTAAAAGTCGGCATCAGATCCGCGTTATCACAAGGAGGCAAAGAGACATACACCAACATGTACACATCGATCATATATATCATTAAGAAAGTCTGTCCCGCTAAACTTGACTAAAGACCCTGATTGAGACATAAACCCGTGATTACCAGGGATCTGTTCATTTCACCACCTGTCCTCATCGTTTATCATTGTTTGTATGTACTCTGTCCTTTTTGTCCAACGTGGGACCCTGACCTATGACCCCGATATTAAGAGTCTCGTGCACGTGCTGAACCAACTGAGGTTTCTACCGTGTAACCTCTGGAATTCAAGGATAGCTAGAGGATATGTTTAAGCAGTCTTTTTTGGTGCAGGGATTAATAGTAATCTTTATGTACTCAAAGGATGGAAACTATTTTCAATTAAAATGAATGACAGACTTACCCAAATCTAAAACACAAACTGGTTTTATTCGTTCCGTTGTGGTTGCTATGTATTTCTTATTTTTTTCATTAGCTGATTACCAATCAATATATTTTTTTATCAGTAATTTTTCAGAAAATCTTCTGTTATATTGAAAATATTTTTATCATTAACAAGTTCATTAGTAATAGTGAAATTGGTTTTAGTGTTTCACGTGTCTTCAGTAGAAAAGGTTCGCCGTCTTTTTTTTTGTAAAAAACATGTACGTATTGTGTCAGACATAGCGCCACAATTAAAGCAATCTAGGTTGGATTTTTTTTATACATCCTTGGTACGGGCAGAATTTTACATCGACTTTTTATCATGTTTATTTCCTCGCTGGAAAATAATTTCCCCCGTTTTAACTTGGCCTGGTTCGTCCTGAAATGACCATAGCTGTTAGTAGGACGTAAAGCACACACAAAACATTAATCTGTTGCATTTGTTTTCTTGCCTTTTTCAAGTTAAGATGTGTAAATAGGTATGTGATCGGAATATTTGATGGTACGTTAATTGCATCATCAAATATCTTTGAATATGCAAAAATATATTTCATATTCATTGGAAAATATTTTTGGGAATGCAAAATCCGATTTTGGATGAGTAGAGTTCAATTTCTGGGTATGCAATATCCTTAATATATATGGGTATTAAAAAATACTTTTGCTCGTGTAAAGTACTTAATCGTGACATGGCCGGGCCATGCTACTTTGCTAGGGTGCAGAAATGAAAACAGATACATACAGAATATCACGGCACCATTGCTGCGATATTCAGTTTACCAATAAGAAACCATGTAGGACTCTGGTAAGACCATCAGACCAATGCGTATTAACCAGTACATGTTCATACAATACTGCAGTACTTCGACTTTCTATCCAAAGTCATTCCAGATCTACATTGTATACTGTCCGTTATTATCTCTGTATTGACTTGAACTACGGCCCAAAAGGAAAAAAAGCAAGATTAACCTTTGTTAGAATAACTTGCGTAGGCGGTCATATATGTCAGTCAATCAATGTACAATTCACTCCACTATTATTTTATATCAATACCAAACTACTCAATGATGGCTTATATTTATAATGTACGCGGCTTCTAATGGAGTTTGATTCAAATGAGTCTTCGGTCCATCGGCGTTGAATTGCACCTTTCTCACCTCTCAATCGACGGAGACCATCACGAATCACTGATTCAGCCCAGGTTTTTGCCCATTAAAGAAGCACAAGCATGCTCATTAATCCAAACTTTTGATTAAACAGACCAGTGTGTGGATATATATACAAAATATTAACAGTGTTATCGTGTTCCCATGGCTGTATCGTGGGATCTATTGGAGGATAAATTACTTTTTTCTTTCTTTAATATATAATTATAAATATCAAAGTATACATGTACATGATATATCTCTTTTATAACTATTTCTATATTGATAAAACCTGTTTGTTGTTTGAAATATTTTAAATGACGCTTATAAAAGTACATGTACGGTTTACCATGAAGAACCCGGGTATTTAATCACTGGTATACATTACAGTTCGGCAACGATAAGAAATTGTATCTTACTTTCTAACTTTAACATTAAACTCAACTATACGATAATGACTGACCCAAAATTGTCCGACTTGATACTAGTATTTTTAACATAAAATGTTATTATGATTTTAATAGTACCAGTATATATTCACGTGACTGCTATTATATTTTAATTGCACCAACATTTGTACACATGGTAAGTATTTCTCCTCTTTGTACACGATTTTTTTAATAGGATTGTGATAGTATCAATATTTTGTACACGTGACTGTAAATATGATTTTAATATCTGTCCACGTGATCATTGACAAGTCATTGTGATAATCAGTCCATATGTTAATAAATGAAGCAAATGAAAATAATAAAACAATTTGGACACAGACATACAGGATTCTGTAGGGGTTTATCCCACTTTTTCAATAGCTTCCCGCGACAATGAAGAATTAATGCCAAAGAAAATGTGTTACACCGTTTGATATATATATCTCGGCCTATTGTGTTATATACCGACTGTAGATACTGCAGGAGATGTGGACCACCTTAGCGTTATAGAATTCTACAATTTGTCGTTATAGGGACATATTTCGTCTAGATTTATTATAGACAAGTTAAAACGTTAAAATAGTAAGATCAAAATTAACTTTTCACATGCAAGAATCCTTAACGAATTTCAGTTTTGTCATAACCGGGTGATGTACATGTAAAAATATTTTCATTACTAAAGAGCTACCCCGTGCCTAGTCCTAATACTGAATGTATATCAATACACCTCAATGATGAAATCAAGTATCGGAGTCACTTAACATCCAAGGGTAGCAATCATATTCATAACCTATATAATGTATCACTATGTCACGCACTTCCGGATGTCATCCTGGTAGATAGCCGGATCGGAAAACATGCAGATCCGGTTTTGTGACAGCGATACTAACTAAACACAACGAACTCGTACCTGTACCGGTAACAATGACAAATACAGATAAAAGAAGAGGNCCCCGGGGTGGGTGGGAGTGGTCTACAGGTTTAGTCGTTTTGTTTTGTTTACTTTTACAGACAATATGTATCAATACAATACTCATTCTTCCTGCATATTAACAAGGCCTTCTACTGACACGGAAGTGATAAGGAGACGGTGTCGGTGTGAGTCATACCGTTAATTATCCGTACCTAGTGGCGGTATTGTTCACCAGTAGATTATTTATAGGACTAAACATACTCGGCTGACACACCATATATCTACGCTGTCGATATACTCATTAAAGCATATTTTGAGAAACAAGATATATAACTTGATTATTCTTTCAATGAGATATCGATTATTAAAGGGTATGCGTCACATTTTCTACAATTTTCTACAAATCAAATATTGTTTCGGGGAAAATAATTTTTAAACAGGTTTGGTGACACCATGACAACTTCACATGTTCGCCCCCAGTTTTTATGTTAGCAAATTAGAATCATTTTCAAATAACATGAAGGATCAAGGACGTGTTTTGAAAAGTAAAACGAAGTTTTAAGTACCGTTACTGATACATGCAGATTCCCTTTTCATTGTTTTTATCGAAACGAAGTAGGTGACATTTATGAAAGCATTAAGATCGTATTTCCAGTTTTGGCAGTATATCTCGCCCCGCTACCCCCCC